AACCTCTGACCAGCTTGTTCTTTTCTAGTCTACCAACAGGCTGAGTTAGGGCACAGTCCTCGCCCATCAGAAAGGCCCTTTGACCTTGAGACACTGACTTTTGCACTGTCCATCTGTCCCCTCAAACCCGGCTTTGTGTGGCCCCAGTGTGGGGTGTGATCCGTGATAGTGTGGTGTCCCCGCAGGGCCAGGAGGAATGGAGTTATGCTGGGGAGCTCTGGTGGGTGACTGTCCTTGCAGCTGGAGGCAGGTGTTCAGTGTCCACTGGGGCGGGGAGCAGGAGACACCTCCTGTGGGTCAGACCACTGGCATTCAAGCCTACATGTCCCCACCCTCTGTTCCTCCGTCCCAGCTATTGAAGGTGGCCGTGGAAGTCACTAGCACCTCGGCGAAAGCTGTGCAGATGGCGAACCAGCAGCAGGACGAGCAGATATGCTGGGGTAACAGCAGCTCTGTCATGAGTCTAGGTATGTGGTCACCCCTTGCTGTGTCCGTGGCCACCGAATTGGTGGTCGGGATCATCTTAGGGCACCTCGGCCTGCATTTGGGGACTAGTCCCTTCCTGTTCTCTTCTTTTTCTGATGCTTAAGGTTTTCCTTCCCTTAAAAAATGCTTTTGACAGATCAGAAAATAAAACCATGAATGGTGGAAAATGGGGATTCTCTAAAGCCGTGCAGAGGGAAACTAAAAGCACTGCATAACGCAGTGGCCCAGAAGCGGTCAGTGTTCATGTTTTGGTCTGTTTCCCTCTATTCTGTTTCCTCTCATCACTTTTTAAAATTTATTTATTTATTTTAATTGGAGGCTAATTATTTTACAGTATTGTAGTGGTTTTTGCCATACATTGACATGAATCAGCCATAGGTGTACACCTCTCATCATTTTTTATTTTTTTTATAAGTTGAATCTAATCACATCATACTACACTATTATATTCTTTCCCTTGGACCTCATTTTAAGCATTGACCCAGGTTCTCAAAGTCATAATTCCAATCGTCAGACACTTCCTTTCAGACATGAGCTAAAATTTGCTTAATGTTTTCTGTTACTGAGCCTGTAGGTCACTTTCGATTATTTATTGTTATACTGTTCCAGCATTTGCAATACTGACAAATGGGAATAATTCAAGGTTTTATTCTTGTATAATGCTTGGGTAGATACTGGTTATGTGTATATTGTGGGACAGTATTGTTTCAAAATTTGGTTACAATGACATGAGGAAATGCATATAATGTTAAAAGGAAAATGCAGGTTAAAAGTGAAATACACAGTATGATCTTACTTTTCTAAAGGGAAAAAATGCAGAGGAATCCATTGTAGGAGTTGAGCTACCACATGGATGTTGATTTTCTCTGTGTCAGAGTCAGAGGTGATTTAGATCGTTTGTTATTCAGTCGCTAAGTTATGTCAACCCCATGGACTGCAGCATGCTGGGCTTCTGTATCTTTCACCATCTCCCAGAACTTGCTCAAACTCTTATCCATTGAGTTGATGATGCCATCCAAGCATCTGATCCTCTGTAACCCCCTTCCTTGTCCTCCTGCCTTCAATCTTTCCCAGCATCAGGGTCTTTTCTAATGAGTTGGCTCTTTGCATCAGGTAGCAAAAGTATGGGAGCTTCAGCATCAGTCCTTCTAATGAGTATTTCCTTTAGGATGAACTGGTTGGATCTCCTTGCAGTCCAAGGGACTCTCGAGTCTTCCCCAACATCGTGGTTCAAAATCATCAATTCTTCGGTGCTCAGCTTTCTCTATAGTCCAACTCTCACATCCATACATGACTACTGGAAAAACCATAGCTTTGACTAGACGGCCCTTTGTCAGCAAAGTAATGTCTCTGCTTTTTAATATGCTGTCTAGGTTGGTCATAGGTTTTCTTCCAAGGAGCAAGCATTTTTAACTTTATGGCTACAGTCACTATCTGCAGTGATTTTGGAGCCCAGTATAAACTTGTCAAGAAAGTAAATTCTGTCACAGTTCCCGTTGTTTCCCCATCTATTTGCCGTAAAGTGATGGGACCAGATGCCATTATCTTAGTTTTTTTTAATGTTGAGTTCTCAGCTAACTTTTTCACTCTCCTCTTTTACTTTCATCAAGAGGCTCTTTAGTTCTTATCTTCCTGCCATAAGGGTGGTGTCATCTGCATATCTGAGGTTATTGATATTTCTCCCAGCAATCTTGATTCTAGCTTGTGCTTTATCCAGCCCAGCATTTCGCATGATGTACTCTGCATATAAGTTAAATAAGCAGGGTGACAGTATACAATCTTGACATACTCCTTTCCCAATTTGGAACCAGTCTGTTGTTCCATGTCTGGTTCTAACTGTTGCCTCTTGACCTGCATACAGATTTCTCAGGAGGCAGGTACGGTGGTCTAGTAGTCTCATCTCTTGAAGAATTTTCCAGTTTGTTGTGATTGTTTAGTTTGTTTCCTGTTTCTTTATCCTGTTCTGCAGCCTTCACATATTCTGCAGTGAACATGTATCACTCAGGGAATTTCCCTGTGATTGTCAACCTTTAAGAAAGGTTGCAGTGAACTCGTTTCAACAGTTGAGGTTCTACACGGGGGTGAGGTTCTGCCATTGTTGCGGGCAGGCCAGCTCCTCCCGTTTGTGGGGCTAGCTTTGTTGTTTCCCACCTTCCTGCTATTGGGTAAGGTCAAAATTGTGTCTGCATTTAATTTTAAACTTTGTTTCTGAGTAAGTTTCTTCTTATGAAAAATACACTCAGAGAAGGTTTTTCGTTGTTGTTTTTTGTTATAAGAAAAAAGCAGCCTTTTGGGAGGAGTCTTAACTCAGGGTTAGTCAAGTGAAAAGCTGCCTCTGTCCCTTGGGCTGTGGCAAACCCCCTTCAGTCCATTGCCACTGACTTTAAAGCTGATAGTTGTGTGACCACAGACCAGGCTAAGAGATGGAACATGCCTCGCACAAGAGCGACTCCATCAGCCGCTTCCTGCCTGAAGCTGAGCGCTGGCCCGGCTTGGTGAGGATTCTCTCCCAGTGCCTACACCTCCCAAGTAGGGTCTGTGATCACTCACGTTCATTGACATGTAATGGAGGCCCTGGTGTAGTCTCTTCCATCTTCCATTCTCAGATCTGTCTTGCCCTTTGGCTCTTTTTGACAGTCTTGGTGTGGGGTCACTTTTGAGTTTCTCCCATTTGGAGTTGTGTGAGCTACTTGGGCGTGTAGCTTCATGGTTTTCCTCCACACTCAGCCAGATGGCTGACGATGTTTCCTTCCTCCGCACCTCTGTTGGTCCTGCCTTAAGGTCAAGCAAAGTCATGGGCTCAGGGCCTTTGCAGGTCTCTCCCAGATGCCCTCGCGGCCCCAGGCATGCATGTGGACTTCCACATTCCCAGGACTCTTGCAGCTCTTCAGAGCCCTCGTGGGCCATTCCTGCCCTATTGTCTCTTTCTGCACTTGCTGCTTTGTCTGTGTTTGCCCCAACCCTTTTCCACCACCAGAGGCAGTGGTCATTCAGAGAAAAGAACTTTCCAACCAACTTGAATGAACATACTCAGCAAGTTGTCCACACATACTGAGGAAACTGGGAAGAACCAGCAAGGAGAAATGCAAGCAGACACTCTTAGGGGTTAAACATGGTTGTCAAAGTGTTCAGAACAGTCCATGAGAGAGTTAGGCAGATCTTGAGTGAAAACATCTCGAGACTCAAGAGACAAGGGGCAGATATACAAACAAGGGCAAAGAAAAATAGCACAGAGATGGGCTGAGATCTCTGATGCTGAGAAAGGAAGGAAGGAGGAGGGAGGCAGTTGCAGAGTTGAGGGCTGAGTCCAGACCAGAGGGAGCCCCAGGACGCACTCCAGACCCAGCCTCCCATAATCCACAGTAGCAGGGATGCAGCGTCGGGGGCCCAGGCTTGCAGAGACAGCACAGCTTGGCGAAACCCTGAGCCAAGAGAAGGCCACGTAGCACCGAGGGCCTGGGACAGAGTGGTGACATGTGAGCTGGGAATATACCTGGATCTGGGGGAGCCCAGGAGCAGGGCTGGGGCATCTGGAGATTGGGAGAATCTGAGGACTTGGTAAAGGGAAATGACACCCCCGAATCCTATCTGTATGTAAGAGAAATGTGAGTGCCCTCAGAGGGAGTGGCGGTGGTGAGTGGGAAGGCTCATTGGGACCAGGCCTGTCTCCTCTCTGTGAGATGCCTGCCCAGCCATCACCGTGATGCCCAAGCTTTGCACTCACCCTTGGGATGGGCAGGACTGAACACCACTTGCCAACCTTGTGGGAGGGCAGAGGATGGGCTGGGGAGGTGAGCTCCTGGAGGATGGACTCAGGTGAGCTGAAGGAAGGACTGATCAAAAGCCATACAGCATCCAAATCATGAACCTCCATGGCTCCTGGGCTCTGCGGAGAGTGGCAGGGAGGGACCTGGCCAAGCCAGTGAACCCCAGCCTGGGGGCTCTGCCTGGGGCCCCCAGGGGCTTCCATCGGAGCTCACCAGGCCCTGGCCCCGTCGGGGGCTCCTGGCTCAACCCGTCGCTGAGTGCCCGGGGCCCGAGGACAGCTGGACTGACTAACCTTGCTATTTGCCGTTCTCTTTCATTGGCAGCCACCAAAATAGAAGAGCTAACCCAGCAATATAAGACCTTCAGCGACCGTCTGCACAAAGGCCCACAGTAGCCTGTGAGCAGGGAGCTCTACCCCGAAGAGCCAGGCAGCAGCAGTCAGCCTCCTTGCCGCCTCTAGCTGCTCAGCACCTTCAGCTCTTTGGTGGGGGGTGGGATGGGGTGGGGTGGTTTGGGGAGTGAGGGGAAGGTAATGTGGGGATGGTGGGGGGGTGGAGGTGGGGTGGGGTCGGGCGGGTTTGGATGGTGGGAGCTGGGGAGAAAAGAAAGCCCAGGTTTTAAGAAGTTGCCTCCAGGCTGCTTTTTTGCTTCTGTGGCTCTGCCTGACTGCCTCCCTGCCCATCCTGCCTGCCCCATGTTCCACTGCCTGTTAAGCCTGGCGGTGTCTTGTCATGACTCCTGGCTGAATGCGACCATGGCCTCCACCAGGCCCTGATCCGCTGCTTCCTACCCCCAACCCTGGGCTGGCCTTCGGGGTGCTGGCACCCACTGCATCTGGGGTGTGGCCAGTGGGGGCGTGTGCTTCCTTCTCCTGCCTCCCCAGGCCACCCAGCACTGACCTGGGGAATTCTTGTTGGTGGCCCGACTGGTTGGCCAGGAAGCGGCTGTCGGGGCTTTCCAGAGCCACCCAGTATCTGCCTGAGCTGTGTCACAGCCACCTCCCTCCTGCAAGCCCGGGGACAGGCACACCTGGTGTGGTCCCCTGCCCCCCTCAGCTCAGGATCAGGCTGAAGGGTGCTGGGGGAGGCCCCCCCACCCCATATAAGCATTTGGTTGCCAGTCTCACTTGCACCTTCATTTCCCTGATTCCCCTGTGGCTGTTCCAGACCAGGAAGCTCCAGGGAGCTGGTCCCCTGCCATCAGCAGAGGTGGGAGTACAGGCAGACCCCTGGGCACTGTGGTCCAGGTTCCTTGACAGCTTTACAGCCCAGGAGACCGAAGGGCCCGCTGTGGGCAGGCTGCCCCTGGCTCTTGGCTGCCTCCCTGCACCCCAGTGGGAGACTGGGCTTGTGAGCACCCACTGCCGGAGGCTGGCACGGCTTGCCCAGGGATGAGGTCCTGGGGATGGTGCCATCCGCTCTCCTGGAGCAGGGAGGGCCTTTTCTCTTACCTCCTATGTTGACTGTGCCCTTCACCCTGGCCTGAGCCACTTGGGCTGGGCAGGACCCGGAGCCTCTGGCTCTCATGGCACTCGGTGGAGGGCTGCTCCCACCTGCCACACCTCCCTTTGTACCTTCCCTGGCAGCCTCTGCTCCAGGCCCCTGAGATACTCTAGAGGAAGAGGAGCCCCCTCCAAAGTGGGAGGGCTGCTGCCCTGATGCACCCCAACTGCTATCAGTGGGGCCACACTGTGGCCTGTCCTCCTAGCTCACTTTGGTTGCCTCTGGTGACGGAGTTGTGCCCTGGAGATACTCCTGTGGGGGGGTGCTACCCGGGGCTGGGTGTTGAACCCAAGGCAGCAGGCCCGGCTGCTGCTGCCAGCCCTGATCAGTCGTGGAGGCAGGGCAGAGGGCTTGGGTTTCCTCTTCACGCCTGTGACACACCTGTGATGACACGTTCTTCCAGCCCAGGCTGCGCTCCACCTGTGGGGAGCCCGCCTGTGGCCCAGGAGCCAGCTTTTTGGCCTGTAAAAACATGGGGCGTGTGTCCCAGCAGCTATGAGCAAGTGAGGGGGTGGCAAGCCGGCCGCACAGGTCTTGTGGCCTCAGATCTCCTCCCTACCCAACAGGCGGCTGGGGGCGGGCCACAGCCACAGATTAAAGGCTGCCCAAAGCAGCCTGTGTGAGACAGGTGTCCAGTAGCCCAAGAACCCGGCCAGCAGCTGCTGCAGGTAAGCCAGCGTGGCCAGCTGCCGGGGCCGGAGGCAGAACAGGGGACAGATTGGGTCAGATCTGGATTGGATCCACCTGTATGCTGGGAGGAGGCCAAGCCAGAGAGGCTGGAAATTCCCAGGAGAGCTGTCTTGGGTGCCTGCTTGCCTGCTTTCCAGCAGCTGATCCCAGGGTCACGTTTGTTGGGCACTGGGCCTGAAGCTGCTGGCCACAGTGTGTTGGTGATGGTGCCATCCTAGGCTGCAGTCCCTGGTGACATGGGCCTGGCACACTGCCTGTCCATGTCCTTCGGGTCCAGAGGCAGAGGCCCCAGGCCAGGGTCTGGGCATATCAGACCTGCCTTTTGCTGTTTACTACACAGTAGCAGTGGGGATGGTCAGGGAGGGTCTGAGGGCCACCATGGAGGGGGTGACAAGACCCTAGGAGGCCTCATCCTGGACAGAAGTAACAGATCCCAGTCACTGGATCCCAGTTTGGAAGGCCCCATAGCAGTCTCTGGATCTGGGTCTTAGAAATGTCTCCTAGAGCCTAAAGGCCCATGAGGTAGCCAGAAGGGAAGCCAGAAGGGTCAGAACCTTGGCAACAGGCAAAGCTGTGGCCGGCCGAGGCCAGGCATCCCCATCTCTTTGGCCCCTGTGTCTTCTGCCTCTTATTTCGGCAGCTGTAGGCTTCCCTGTTCTGTGAAAACCATCACCATGTCCAAGGGACCTCGGGCCAAGACCTTTGTCTTTCTGGACCTGGAAGCCACCGGGCTCCCCAGCGTGGACCCTGAGATTGCTGAGCTCTCCCTGTCTGCAGTCCACCGGTCCTCCCTGGAGAACCCTGAGCACGATGAGTCTGGGACCCCCCTCCCACCCCGGGTCATGGACAAGCTCACACTGTGCATGAGCCCGGAGCGCCCCTTCACTGCCAAGGCCAGTGAGATTACTGGCCTGAGCCGCGAGGGCCTGGCCAGGTGCGGGAAGGCCGGGTTTGACAGCACCGTGGTGCGGACACTGCAGGCCTTCCTGAGCCGCCAGGAGGGCCCCGTGTGCCTGGTGGCCCACAACGGCTTCGATTACGACTTCCCCCTGCTCTGCATGGAGCTGCAGCGCCTGGGTGCCCATCTGCCCCAGGACACCGTCTGCCTGGACACGCTTGCAGCACTGCGGGGCCTGGACCATGCCCACAGCCACGGCACTCGGGCCCAGGGTGGTAAGAGCTACAGCCTGGGCAGCCTCTTCCGCCGCTACTTCCAGGCGGAGCCGAGTGCGGCCCACTCTGCTGAGGGCGATGTGCACACCCTGCTTATGGTCTTCCTGCACCGCGCTGCTGAGCTGCTCAGCTGGGCTGATGAGCAGGCCCTCAGCTGGGCCCACGTGGAGCCCATGTACATGCCACCCGATGGCCCGAGGCTCGAGGCCTGAGCCAGGGGCTTGGTGATGCTGCTGCCCAGGGCAATGAGGCCCCAGTCCCTGCAGCAGGGCAGCACCAGCATCTGTGCCGTTCAGCCGGGCCCAGACACCTGCCAGGCTTTACCCCATTCTGGTCCAACCAGCCTCACAGCCCTAAAGCCTTCTCCTGGCCTCTTCCCTGGCCCGGGCGCCAGGGAAGTTGGTTGTTGCTGGCACCCACCTGTCACCCCGTCTTTCAATAAACATTAACGACTGCTCACCAGCTGGCTTTCAGTTCCCCTCCTCCCCACACCCTGCCCAGAGGGGCCAGGCAGGGAGCAAGGCCCAGGGCAGGAGCCGAGCCCCGCTCCCCCGCCCCCCAGGGCAGCCCCCTGTGGCCCATCTGCGGTGAGTCTGCTGGATGAGATGTCCGTGCTCAGAGCCTGGTCCAAAGGGTTGACAGGCTGGGGCTGTGGACCTCAAGCCATGGGCCTCTGCCCTGACTGGTCTCCTCCTGCGACTTTGATTATCATCCCCCCAGAGACACCCAAAAATCAGTGAGCAGGACCAAAGGAACTTCTGTGGGGCCTGAAAGTGTATGGGAAAAGCCCCACTGCCTCCTTCCCAGAGCCCTGTCCCTTCTCTTGAGTGGACAGCAGGCTGAAATCGGGAGGTGGGTACACAGAGCGCCGAGCGGAGTCGGGTGGGGGCCACTGGTGCGGGAGGAGGACCAGAGATGCACACATCGAGTGTGCAGGGAGGGTACCGTCGGGGCTCCAGCTGTGCTGCAAAGGTGTTCAGTGAGGGAGACAGCTTGGAAGGAGTCTGTCCTGGGCCCCGTGAGGCTGAGAAGAGCCAGGAGTCATCTCAGGGCAGAGGGCACCTTCTCAGCCGTTGGCTTGGTGGGGGCGTTGGCTGGCCCACCTGCCACTGGGGCCCCGCTGGTGGCACCAAAGGATGAGGCAGGGTAGGGGCGGGATGTCCAGGAGACAGAGCAGGTGAGAAGGGGCGGGAAGGTGGCGTGATCATGCCCAGGAGTGACTCACATGAGCCACGCTTCGAGCCTTTAGCCAGCTGGGCCATCCTGAAACACAAAAGTAGGTCAGAGTGGCTGGGGCCATGGCGGTGGGCAGAGTGGCATATAGAAGAGGCCAGGACCCTGGCAGTGGCTGCCTCGGGCCAGCCTCATTCCCCAGCTAGGGTCCGGATGGACCCTGACAGTACCGGGGAGCCACACAGCGCTGTAAGCAGAGGAGAGGAAAAGTCGACTTCTGTTTTTACAACACCTCTCAGGCTGTGCTGTGGGAAAGACCTGAGGGGAACAGTCTGGGAGGGTGGTCCACGCCCTGCCACCTGCCCTGGGGAGAACACCCACCTGGGAGAGGGCCAGGGCAGGGCCTTGGTCCGGGGGCTAGTGGCAGGCAGAGCTCAGTGTTGGGGTTGCCCAGAGCCCCCCAGATCCCTGGTGTCCAGGCACAGCCGGGTCCCTTTATCTCATTAGCCAGGCTCTGGGCCACCTACTCACCAACTCACTGAGTAGGTGAGGGAAACAGGGCCCCCTCCAGCCACAGTGGGTGGATCAATGGCCTTTTGTGAGCCCGAGTGCTTCTCCTTACCCAGTGCCAGCTTGCTGGGCCTTATAGCAGCTGGGGCACAGGCGCCCTCCCTGAGCCCATGCTCAGACTGGCCAGGCGATGCTGTGTACCTGCTGCATGGAGCAGACAGGCTGGGGCATGTCCCCTTGTGTCTGAAAGCTGTGATATGCTGATCCACAGTGACAAGTAAATGTAAGCCTATTTGTGTGTGTGTGTATGTGTGTGTGTGCACCTCTGTGTTGGGGGAGTGTATATATTTCTCTCTGTCTATATATGCACACAGACACAGACATGTAAATTTATTATGAATTTTACTGTTATAAAATATGTAAACACACAATGTACAAATAAATCTACAATATATATACAATAAAACACATGATACACTATTTCTCAATTCCATATGACCCATTGATTCTCACCAAAATCTCTTCAGTTGACTTGCCAAACTTTTGGATGGGTACCTGACCCATGGTTGCAACTGAGGGCTGACTGTGGTTCCCACATAAACGTTGGTTGATATTTCCACTGATCTTACCCAGACAAAAGCGAAACAGCAAAGGTGTGTGTTGGAACCTCATATGTTCATTGGTGACATGAACAAAATCTCTGCTGAACTGGATAGTAGTTTTTGATATTGGAAATTTTTTCTTTTTCTTTTTGTTATTCACAGTGTAATTACTACAGACTCAAGTCTACACATGGAGAAGGAAGGCACTGGTGACCCACTCCAGTACTCTTGCCTGGAAAATCCCATGGATGGAGGAGCCTGATAGGCTGCAGTCCATGGGGTCGCTGAGTCGGACATGACTGAGCAACTTCACTTTCATTTTTCACTTTCATGCATTGGAGAAGGAAATGGCAACCCACTCCATTGTTCTTGCCTGGAGAATCCCAGGGACAGGGGAGCCTGGTGGGCTGCCGTCTATGGGGTCACACAGAGTCGGACACGACTGACGCGACTCAGCAGCAGCAGCAAGTCTACACAATCAACCGAACAATAACCAGTCTAGCCCTGGTTTGCAGGCAGTGCTGATTCCTGTGAGGTAAATACTCCCACCAGGTCAAACTGTTGTAAATACACAGCTACCCACATGATGTCATTGAACGTGTGGTTCAGAAGAGATCCTGGGTGGTGCACTGTGCCAAGGTACTGGGGTGAAATAAGACATGATGTGTTTGGAGTATCTCCTTTGTTTCTTTAATACAATTTTTTTTCTCTTTTTTTTTTCTTTAATACAATTTAAGTGGAAGTTTATACAATTGAATTTTTAAAATAATGATGTTTGACAATCAACTCTCAAAATTCCTGAACTTTACAAAATGTGTTTCTGTCTTTATTTGGCTGTGCTGGGTCTTTGTTGCGGCATGTGGGATTTGTAGTTGCGGCATGTGGGATCTAGTTTCCTAGCCAGGGATTGAACCTGAGCCTCATGCATTGGGAGCGAGGAGTCCTTAGCCCCTGGACCACCAGGGAAGTACCCTGAACTAACATCCACTAGAATGGCTACAACACAAAAGACTGACCATCCTGAGTGTTGACAAGGACGGGGAAGAACTGGGAGGCTCAGGCACCACTGGTGGAGGTGGGAGATGGGACAGACACTTTGGAAAGCAGTTTGGCCACATGTTAAAATATTAAACACTCACCTACCATAATGACCTGATGATTCCACTCCTGAGTATCTATTTACCCAAGAGAAATGAATGCGTGTGCACACACAAAGACTCGCAGACCTCTGCTTGTGGCAGCTCTAGTCATTACTGCCCCAGGTTCCTGGGCTGGTGAGTGGTTGCAGAGACTGTGTACATCCACAGGGCTGTACTCGGGACTCACAGCAACCATGCTGAGCAGCAGGGCCAGACCTGAAGAACCAATTCCACCGCTCCAACTCACCCTGGCCGGCCACCTGCCCCTCGTCAAAAAGTGTCGGTCGCCCAGAGGGATCGGGTAGAGAGGGAGGTGGGAGGGGGGATCGGGATGGGGAATACATGTAACTCCATGGCTGATTCATGTCAATGTATGACAAAACCCACTACAATGTTGTAAAGTGATTAGCCTCCAACTAATAAAAATAAATGAAAAAAAAAAGTGTCGGTCACTCCCAAGCCACGTCCATGTCTGCCAGTGTGGATGCAGCTGTGATCAGGAGCATGCCTGATTGAAAACAGAACTATCCATGCAGCAGGACGAGGGGATGAGGACAGAAGACTGGAGCAGCGGGCTGGAGATGTCTTTCGGTGGAGTCCACAGGCTATGGGGCACCATGTGTACAGGACTTTAGCTTGTACCTTTACGAATCCCATCTTTCTATCTTCTTTTTGGCTCAGTTTTTGTTCTTCTTTTTTTCCCCCATAATTTCTTAAGAGGAATACTAACCTCCTTTGTCAGCTTTCATCTTGAATCAGTAAGGTACTCAAAGTCTGCAATTTTGCCCTGAATGAGATTTTCCTGTGTCTTGTACGTTTGTCACTAAACATTCCTCTTTGCTTTGTGTTGGGAGATGCTTTCAAATTTCACTTTTCATTTCCTCACCCATCTACTGCTTGCATAGTAGAGTTTGTCTTGGTTTCCAAGTTGTTGAGACTGTGGTCATTTTTTATATGTGTATGTTGAATTGTACTGGATAGTGGTCTGAAGATATATTGCTTAAGATTTTGGGGTGGGGGCTTTATTAGCTTTCTAGGGCAGGGCAGTTTTAACAAAGTACCACAAATTGAAATGTCCCGTTTTTATAAAGGCCCAGTCCTATTGGAGTAGGACCCACTCTATTGACCTCATCTGTACTTGACCATCTCTGTGAATCCTGGTCTCCAAAAAAAAAAAAGGTCATGTGCTAAGGTTCTGGGGGTTAGGACTCTTTTAACAGAATTCAACCAATAATAGAGGTCAAATGCATGCAACATTTAAAATGCCCAACAGACTGAAAAAAATTTAATATCCTTCAGAGATGTGTGCTTTTCACTATTTCTCTGGAATCTAGTTTGATAATTGCACTATTGAATTTCTCCTTTTTTTTTTGTCCACTAGATCAGCCCAACCCTGTGATACTGTATTAAAATACTCCATTATCATTGTATTTTACTGATATCATTCCACCTGTCTAGTAGGTTTTCTCTGAGCATTTAGTTGCTGTGTATTCATATGACTTTATGACTATAGCAGTCAGGGTGCTTCTGAAAAACAGGACAAGTTGGAGAGCTCTAGATAGGTGTACACGTGGAATCGGCTTATGTAGTTCTGGGGGCTGGCAACTCTGAAGTCTGCAGAATGAGCCATTGGGCCAGAGACTCAGGGAGGAGTAGCAGCTTGGTCCAAAGGACATTTGGAGGCAGAATCCCTTCCTCTTATGATGACTTCAGTGTTTTTGTCATCAAGCTTTCAGCTGATTGCATGCAGCCCACCCAAATTTTTTTTTTTCATGTGTTGTGTTTTTTTTTTATTAACACCAAAATGTGCAGAATCACATTTGAGGTGAGGTCTTATTAAGCATGACATGGAGGATGCAGATGGGAGGGTCCGAAGGCCTCGGGTCTCTCCCTGGGCAGAACCTCCACTTCCTGCGAGGGCTCTCCATCAGCGACAGGCCCAGCTTGGTCTGCTCAGAACAGCTGCACACCAGGCCAGGCCAAACGAAACGTGTCAGCAAGCACATCGAGGACCAGAGATGCTCCGGCTCATCCAGCTCCCCAGAGGTCTTTTCCATTCGAACCAAAGTCTCTGCTGTCACCCCACCTGGGCGGTGGCTTTGGTGATGAGACCGCAGGCCACCAGGGTGCAGGGGCTCAGTCAAGACTGTGGCCCCACCCAACAGTCCCCAAAGAGCAATTAGGCTTTCCTATACTTAAAAAAAAAACTATTTAAAAAGAAATAGCACAAACACTAATTTAACAATACCAGCACCTATGGTGGGGGCAGGCAGCCCACCCAAATTATGTAGACTGACCTGCTTTGCTCAGTTGCTAACTGTATTTCCCTGTTAATCTCATCTCAAAAATCCCTTCAAAGTGACATTTAGACAGATGCTTGACTGAGCACCGGGAACCCTAGCCTAGCCAACTTGACACAGAAACCTGCTGGCACAATGATTGCTCCACAGCCTTGTTCTATGTGCTTTACCTTGTCTGTGGAGATGGACCGACATGGTTTGCAAAGTGATCACTCACCACTGATTCCTTCATCTCCTCTTCTTTCCTGAGGCTTCTGCCCAGTGTGCTGTGTAGACAGTTTCTGGGTCCTCATCCTTCTTCCCCTGCTGGGTGAGTGGCTGTGGCTGGGACAGGACCCCCTGGCCTGCATATGGCCCCAGATTCCAGCTTCTAGAGTTGCCTGCCATCTCAGTAAACAAGCAATTATGCCAGTGATCAAGCCATCAGCCACTGCAACTGCCCCAGTACTCTGTATCCTGAGAGGAATTCAGGATGGAGAAAAATAGGATACTGATCCTAGATAGCTAATGTGTGTATCAAGGGAATGATATCAATGACCCCAGGCCCTTGAATATCACCCCCCACATAGAAAAGCATGAAATTCATTAACTTGCAATGTCTGGTTTTTGTGATTAGCAGCAATTTTTTGGTGTTTGACTACCATTTTGTTGTTTTGAAGCAAAACCTGGCTCCTCCTTGACCTCTCTGGAACAGTTTCTCAGAGCTCTCTGAAACGCTTTGTCCTGGACTATAGTCCTCAGTAATGCCCCCAAATACAGCATAATTCTCAACTTTTAGGTTTTGCTTTTTTTCAGTCAACAATCCATTTCTGTTGTCGCTGGTTCCTTATATTCAGAAGCTTCTAAGAGGTTTTTCTGGGATTTCAGGAATGTTCAATAGGCAATGCCCTGGTTTGTGGTAATCAATCTGATTTTGAACTTGGGGAGCCCACCCACTGCATAGACGAATCATCACA